AAGTATTGCTGAGGACAAGGAGAAATTAGAACATGCATACTCTGCTGGTGGGAATGTGAAATGGCACAGCCATTTGGAAAAGAGTCTGGCTGTTCCTTACATGGTTAAACACAGAATAGCCATACGATCTGGCAATCCCATTCCTAAATTATACCCCTCAAGAATGAAAACATATGTCCATGCAAAAATCTGTACATAAATGTTCATAGCAGCACTATTCATAATAGCCAAAAGCAGGAAAAAACCCAAATGTCCATCAACTGATGAATGGATAAATAAAATATAGGATAGCTATACAGAATATTATTTGACCACAAAAAGAAATGAAGCAATAGTACATGCTACAACAGCGATGAACCTTGAAAACATGTTAAATGAAAGAAGCCAGTCACAAAAGACAATATATTGTGTGATGCTACTGATATGAAAAGTCCAGAATAGGCAAATCCATAGAGACAGAAAGTAGATTAGTGGTTCCCTAGGGCTAGAGGGGATTGGGCAGGGAGGCAAGGTGGGGATGAGAGTGAAAGGGTTCAGGATTTTTTAGGGACGGTAATAAAATGTTCTAAAATTGATGGCTGTGTAACTCTGTAAATATACTAAAAACCATTAAATTGTATACATTAAATGGATAATATGATGGTATGTGAAATATATCTCAGTAAAACTTTTTTAAAAGAGATAATATTGCTCCTCAGAGCCGTAATCTTGTATTGAGTTAAAAAGAAGAAAATTAAGGCGAATGGGGCAAAAGTGATGAGATGAGAAAGCTGAATGGCAAAAATAAGGAAGATAGAATGCAAGAATATTAATTTTCCTTTGAAAATGAAAAACCCTCAGCTTGAAGGCAAAGAAAACTATTTTTTTTCAATATGCATATTTTTCAAGGGAAAGAAGCCTCAGAATAACATAAGAACACTAGACTTGGATAGAATCTTGGGTCTAGTTCCCTTTTTTTAAAGAATTTATTAGCCATGTGACCTTGGAAAAGTGACTTAAATTGCTAGAGCCTCTTTCTTCTGTTTAAAATCAATCCCCATATCATAAAATGCCCAAAATCATACCAGGAACCCAAGAAATAGGAGCTATAATTTTTTAAAATTAGTTCGGCCTGAAAAGAAATTTGTAAGTCCTAAATCAGTAATATATCAAAAGTGTTAAGGAAAAAATGTTTCTCCTTTCCAATTCCAAAATGCCAAACTGCATTTTTATCTTTATGATCAATAAAGATTCCTAGAACTTCTTCAGATTTTTTTCTTTTTTAAGTAAAGCAACACCAAAGAAAACCATTTGGAAACACGATCTTCACCTTGACAGAGTTGGCATTTGAATGGAATCCACCCTCTCAACCTCTCGCTGGAGACCATGATAAATGCGGCAATTTCAGGCTTAAGCTGACCCAACCAACGACAAATGAATTTCATGATAGTGACTTTCAAAACTGAAGAGTCCACTGTCAACCTTAAGAAAAAGAGCTCTTCTTATATACTTGTACACTAATTATACAAAGACAAGGATGGTAAAACCCATTAAAATCCAATTTTGTATGGTTTTCCAACTGAGGTGTTTTCTTAAAGATAGAATTATTCAATTTATTCTTTTATCTTTACTGATTTTTAAAGTTTCATTGTCTTAGGTTGTCTTTCTGTATTCTTAATTATATTTGATAGTCAGGGATCTAAAGAGCAATGGATAGGCAAATCTCTACCAAATGCTCCTGGTAGACTTATAACTATGCTATTTTCATTCTTGAAACCCTTGGCAGCGATCAATGCTTCACACATGAAATCAATTAGAAGACAGAATAAACAGCCTCACCAAAATGCATGCTGGCTTCTGTGGATAGCATACTGGCAAAAAACTCCCCAAAAGATTAGCCCAAAATTAGTAAATCTGACCTGACAAGGGCCACTGTATTGAGTACATTTTACAACTTTAACACACATCATAGGACATAACAGCAGCCGTTTCACAACTAATGAACGTACACAAAAGAAGCTTGGAAAGGCTAAAAAAGGAAGATATATTATTACCATCTAGGCTCATCAAGGGGGAATAGATTATATCTACTTATTTAGATGAATATAAAGCTATTCATTACCAAACATAAAAAAGAATATTTTTATTACCAAAACTAACAGTGATGCAATCAGTTTCAATAAATTCCACTACCCAGGACATATGTAATATCTATAAGGAAAACATGATAAATAACACTTATTTACCACTAGTAAGCATCAATAAAATAGTGGGCTCATCCTCTAGAGAAGAAAGATGGAAAACAGGGGATAAAAAAATAAGTATTCTTTATAATAAAATGATGTTAACTGATTGCTGGTATTGCTTTGATTTATCAATGCTCATCTTATCACAAAGAAAGATTTAAAGGGGTTAGCATCTATTTGTTAGACAACATTTTAGTTGAAGTTTCTTAAAAGTGAATTTTGATAAAAAATATTATATTGAACCTGGATTTTATAACATTAAGAGAGAGAAGGGGTGTAGAGAGAGAAACACAATGAGAAAAAGAAATGCCTTTAAACAAGCAAAGGATTATTAAAGTATCAAAATAAGAAATAGGATTTACTAAATAAAATACCTAAACATGATACCTCAATTCTTCTAGAGGACAATGGAATGTTAAAAGCAAGGTAGTTGCTATAGGCTGAATGTTTGTAAACTCTCCAAAATTCAGGTTAAAATCCTACTCTCCAAAGTAATATTAGGAGATGGGAGTCTTCGGAAGGTTTAGGGCATGAGGGTGGAGCTTTCGTGATTGTGATTAGTGTGCTTACAAAGAGACTCAGAGAGCTATCTTTCCCCTTCTGCTGTGTGAGATTACAGTGAAAAGACACCTGTCTATGAGAAAGACGGCCATTCATGAATCAGGAAGTAGGCGCATACCAGACACCGAATATGCCAGCACTTTGATCTTGGACTTCCCAGACTCCAAAACTGTGAGAAATAAATGTCTGTTAATAACCCAGTTTATTTTATTTTTGTTATAGCAGTACAAATGGATTCAGATAGTAATATAGTATAATAGTGAGCTCAAAATTATCATTATGGGCAGTTGTTTGGATTGGGGGGGAATAGATTTGGGGCCAAATATTCAACAATCCAAAATGGACTCCTTTAAGTATAGAAAGAAGTACCAGGAGTCTCAGCAGTGAAGGAATAGGATACCATTTGGAGAAAGATATTAAGTCACTATCATATGTTATGTGAGTTTTAGGAAAAAGATAAAAAAAGTCTATTTAAACCTCCCTCATGGAACTGACTACATCTAATTGTATACCAATTTTATAGGAGCAAGTTCAACATTTAAAGAGCACCTATGTGAGCAGACATTATGTTAGGTGTTGTTTTGTGTGTGTGATCTCATTTTATCATCATTTGAAGAAATAGAGAGTTTATTAATTAAAGAGAGTATATTAGTTAAAGGACACACAGCTAGTAAATGGTCTGTTATCAGGTTCAGTCCCATGACTGCCTTAAAAAAAGATGCTTTCTACCACACTGGGAAACATTTTTCATAGCTCCAGCACTAACTACAATGAATGGCATCCTAGAAAAATGGGACGAAAAAAATCAGTGCCACGCTCTGAGAATTTCTTATTAATTAATAAGCATTAATAGACAATAGAGACTTATAGAGACAGCAGAGGGTGGACGGAGAACACAATGGAATTATAGACACAATAAGACAAAATCAATATTTTTTTAGGGAGAAAAAGTTAATTTCAGAAACAAGTTGATTTCTATTTGGAAAAAATAATAAAAAGGAAATACTCCAAAATGCTAACAGCGGTCACCTTTTGGAGGTGAAAGTATAGAATTCATGTTCTCAAAGCTTCTGTTAAAAACAAGGTTTAGAATTATGATGAAAATACTATAATTACTAAAGTGACGCTTCCCGAATCCAGAAGACTGATTGAAGCAATAAAATACAAAAGTCCTTGGTTATGTGTAATATCCCCCTGCTGTAAGAGCCCCCTGCCATGAAACCCTAACAACCTTGCCAACTACTGGGCACTGAAAACCCTGTGCTTAGCACACATTGGTTCGTGAACAGTAATGATGTTTCCTGCCTGCTAAAAATCAGTGGTTACTCAAAAGTACATTAATTTATTCTCATACCAAGATCTTGAGTAAATATCTAACCTCTGTTTGAGGTCTATTTTCTTCATCTATAAAATGGTGTTATAACCCTATATTGTTATAACCCTATATTGTATAGAGTTGTCAAGGAACCGAAATGAAAAGTGCTTAGCACAAGATGAGCACATAAACACTCGCTATAGTTCCTGCTTGTATTATTATATTCATTATCATAATATCAACCATAATTACCATAAGCGAAAAGAATTCTACTTAGTCTCATTCTTTAAAGTTATGTAGGTATGTTAACTCTATCAAAATTTTGATTAGGCCAGTAAATGATCTTTGATGTAATTACCACATTTCTCCAAAACAGTAAAGATTCTCTCTGCTGTGCTATAATTTTGGGAGTGGTCTAAAGTTCAGAAAATGATTTAAAGGCACAGTTCTAACATCGATCCATCCAATCTGATCAGTAGGAAGAAAGGATCCTTTGCCAGTCTTCAAGCTAACAATAATTTTTGCTGACTATAAAACTTCCGCTAGTCCACGCCAATTTCCTCACCTCATTTACTTACTTATAAGACTCTCTAATCACAAAACTAAGAAGCAAATGCACTCGAGAGTTCTATAAGCATAACTTTCCCTTCTATATTAACAAAAATAAATAACAGAATAAATAAGCCTCTAGAGAATGTCTATATAACCAGATGTTTCAAGACTCCTCTCTACAAATAATGTGTAAAGTAGAAGGTCTTGCTTCACTCTTTCAAACAAAAACTTCTGGGAATGAATATTTAAACTTTTAGTTATTTGACTCTAATCTTACATTCTTGTAACTAATAAGCCTTGTAAATTATTTTCTTCAAAATTATACGGAACCATGAAAAAACACCTACCTCAGCTTGGCAGAGTGCATGAAGACCTTGTAACACCAAAGCTGCTGGACTAGCTTGATCGGGCTTGGTGCATTCATTCAACACCTGGGAAATAGCTGCCAACATATCTGCACCATGCTGATATGGCCTACAGGAAATGAAAGTTTAGAAACAAGATTACAGCCAAAGAACTATATTACCACTCCCAGGTCTTTTGCCTGAATAAAAAAGCATTAATGCCTTTCTTTACTCTTGTGCCTACTAAATGTTGACCCTCGAATAATAACAACCATGTGTTTTTCTTCAAATCTTTGCATCATCATTTCTACTATAACTTAAGGCTCAGTTTTGATATAGAAATATTATCCAAAAGAGAAGACACTTGCTAACAAAGTTTATTTTCTCTAATACATAAATTTTCTGAATTGACAAAATCTCAAGTCTACAGTAATGGTGAAAAGAGCTGACTTACCTTATTGAAATTATCAATAAAGACAGAACTACTCTCGCTGGGAGGATGCTCTGGTGTCAGACACTGACTACAAAAGCAGGGATTGAGGATGAGAAGATGATAAAAATAATAATATGTATTATAACTGACTGAGCACCTATCTCATGCCAGGCACTGTGCTGGATTCACTCACTCTTCTTCCTCCTTTCCCCCTCTACCCTATTCCACATATATTGTGCTATCCTCAGAATGCTTTTAACTGCATAAAGAAACACTCGGGTCCATCTTCTGCATACCTTGTAATCCCCCAGTGGTATAATCCTTTTCTCTAACAAAATATCAATTGACAAAATTACCTGACTGGATTCTATAGTTTCACTGTTTGGCAAATGCAAATCGTTTTCCAAAACTGGAAAAATCTGATCGATCTTGAGGTAACTAAAAGGAGCATTGAATAAGTTCTCAAGAGACTGATGTGGTTTGATATTTAACCTCTCCTGAGCTGCAGGTTTAAGTATGTAAAATTAAAATGTCAGCTAATAACCTTTCATTTCGAAAAATTTTTTCCTCACCAATACAAGATCATCCAAACTCTTAGGTCTTGAGTTACACGTATGCAAATTTTAGAGGTCATTTTTGTGTTGCCAAATGGCTAAAGCTTAGAAAAAGCAGTGGAACTGCTGAGGCTTAGATATAGCCTGATCTCAGATTTTTCTTGAAACAGGAATCATTCACATTATCGCCACCTGGGCCAACTCATTCATTGCACAACTTCAGGAAGTACCATTAACAGTGTTGTCATTGACAGAAGTGAGAACAAAGATCTCAGGAATTCTGCAGTGCAGCGGTTAAACAGATGAAACTGTATGATTACAACTAATTTCAAATATATCAAATCTATTTCCTTGGTAAGTATTTTTACCTTACCCGATTCAAGAAAAAAGAAACCTGGCAACGTGGAGCTTTACTTAGTGTTATTGCAGTCTTTATCACCTTTTACCTATTTATTAATCCATACTCTAGAACAGAAGAGTTGTCTCCCTAATATCTTCATGTCTTCCTAAACCCCAGAACATAAATAGGAATTAAAAAATCACTTCCTTCCTTATAATAATTTCCAATAATTAATTCCATGCAATGAGTCATGAATTAAAACTACTTATAAAAATCAGGCATAACATAGGGAGAATATAAGAACAGTTTGACTACAATCCATCCTTAGGTTTCAGAGATTTATACAGAAAAATAGAAAACATATGTTTTATTACAATACTAAATTATTATCCAGAAAAGAATATAAATATCCCATAAAGCTAGATATAAGACTAGACCTGAAAAGACATACTTGCTTCTCAAAATTACTGTCTAATACTACTAAATTTTACAATTAGAAAACTTCAATTGAAAATTAATTTATTCTTACTCAAATATCCTCTGCCTATATTTCCTAGCTTCTTGCTTGCAATAAAAAAATTAAATGCAAAATAATATAGCACGATATACATTCCCAAGGGTTAAGCACATCTTACCTTCGCTTACATATGTCTCTGATGGATGCTGCTTTAGCAATCAATTTCTCCCACTGGACCTCCTTACCCGCAGAGAGAGAGGGTACATCAGACATTGCCATGAAACGCTGCAGTTCAGGATAGACGCGATCCTAAGAAGGGAATTTCATAAAAAAGGTAATTTCCCCGCTTGAGTTGAATCATCATTATCTCCTTTTATGTAGCAATTTCACCTCCAAACCACATATTTGCATTGCAAATTATAATGTATTTCTTCTAATCAGCAAAGAAGAATGACGTTGTGATTGCTGGAGATTTTCTTACAGACCTGTATACTGTTCATTGTATAAAATAAGAAAAAAGTGGCTAAATCTCACCCTAATTACAAAGGCTTTTAATCACTTATAATCATATTTCTATTAATTTTTCCACACAAATGGAAAAATAAATTTCAGAATTTAAGAAATAAGATTATTTTCTATTCTCAGTTTCTCTGAGTAAATCACTACTAACTGGACACAGATCAAAAGCCTCATGTTAAATTGAAATTTCACAATGCAATCATTGATGCTACTCACTAATACTACTATATCAAAGTACTGTCACGCATAATGACAAAATTAGTTTTTTACACCGAAAGAAACATGTTTAATACTCACACAAGTGTATATCTTAGCTTACCTGCTTTTCCCACAAAGATGTCAACAAGCGCAAAGTGACAGCTCTTAGTTGTGGAGTAGTTCCAAGAAGTTGGATTACTCGTAGAATTTGTCCAACGCACACCTAGAAGACATTGAAGAAATTTAAGTTTCATAAATGTAAATTTAGATAATCCAATGTTACTAAAATAATCTAAATACCTCTTATTATAAAATAAAGACCTAAATAGAAGCTTATTACAGTACTTCTAATCCTCTCAAAGGTTGGGGATAGCTTTGGGAGGGGAGAGCTAGCAACCCTGGGAATGTAAAGACCTTATTTCTGGTATCACTAATGGGGAAACTTATAAAAATGATTTAAAAGAATTACTTCTTAAATACTGTAATAAATATTTTAGACCCAACAAGGGAAGTAGTGATCATAGCAAAATTATCTAAATTTCATATAATACCAAGCAAAATTCAATGTATTATTCATGCCTCATTCTCCTTTTGCTCCCAAGTAAGTTGGTTAATATACGAACCTTGTGAACACCAAGTGTAGGTAAAGTATATAAGATATCATTGTATAATATAGGTTCCAGTGGTCTTCCTAATTTGAACATCAAAACTGGAATTAAATTTGGTACCTAAAATAAATTTTAAAACATATTAATATGATTCTAAAAGAAATTAATCTATAAAGCAATCATTATTTCATTTTTCTTTAAAATAGTAATATAAATACATACAAATTAGAAGACTAAAAAGTGTCAGAAATTTGTTAATGGTAATTCGATAGTAACACTCATATTCTATCTTTTATAATTAGCTGCCAAACACCAATCAGAAAATGTTTTTCTTAAACTATGACATTAACTCTCAGCAATACAGAACTAGTTAAGACATATCCTGTCCCAAAGAAATATATAGTTCTAATGAGCAGCTAATACTTAGGATATATAAACAATAAAGTAACTCCATAGAGTGAAATAGCCAATTATGTTATTCCAATATGAAATAATTGAAATCAGTTGTACTGTAACAGGTGTCAACTGGCAAAAATTTCTCTCCAGGTCCCCATTTCAACCCCTCCGCATAACACAATAAAATGAGAAGAGCAATTCATTTGTGGATCAGGAGACTTAATGATGTTAAGGTAATAATGTTAAGGTGGTAATATTTCCCAAGTAGATCTACAGAGTCAATGTAATTCCTATCAAAATCCCTGATGGCTTCTTTGCCAAAATTGAGAAAGCAATCCTAAAATTCACATAGAAAAGCAAGGGATCCCGAATAGCCAAAACAATCTTGACAAAAAACAAAGTTTGAGAACTCAAAACTTCCCATTTTCAAATTTTACTACAAATCCACAGTAATCAAAACAGTATGATACTGGCTTAAGAGTAGAAATATAGATCAATGGGAAAAAAAAACTCAGAGTCCTGAAATAAATCCTTACATTTATGTTTAATTAATTTTTGATAAATATGCCAAGAAAATAAAATGGAGAAAGAAAAGTTTCTTTAAAAAATTGTGCTGGATTTCAACAACTGGATATTCACATGCAAAAAATTTAATTTGGACCCCTTCCTCACACTGCATGTAAAAATGAATCTAAAATAAATTTTAGATCTAAATGTAAGAGGTAAAACTATAAAATTCTTAAAGTAAAATATAGTTGGCCCTTGAATAACATGGGTTAGGAGCGTTAACCTCCTGTGCAGTCAAAAATTTGCATATAACTACTATAGGAGTAAATTTTTGTGACCTTGGGTTAGGCAATGCCTTTAAAGATGTGACACCAAAACCACAAGCAAGCAAAGAGAAAAAAAATAGACTGAGTTAAAAATATTTGTCAAAATATACTATAAAGAAAAGAAAAGAAATCCCACAGAATGAGAAAAATATTTGCAAATCATATATCTAATAAAGAACTTGTATCCAAAATATATAAAGAATATTTACAACTCAATAATGAAAGGACAAATAACCCGATTTTAAAAAAGGCAAAGAATCTGAATAGATATTTCTCCAAAGAAGATAAACAAACGGCTAATAAAGACAGGAAAAGATATTCAACCATCATTAGCCGTGCCCTAAATACAAATCAAAACCAGAATGATATACCACTTCATACCCAATAGAATGCTTGTAATAAAAAAAAGACAGAAAACAGCAAGTGCTGGCAAGCATGTGGAGAAACAGGGACCCTTATACACTGCTAGTGGAAATATAAAATGGCACAGACCCTTTGGGAAACAGTCTGGCAGTTTTTTAAATGGTTAAACAGAATTACCATATAAGCTAGCAATTCTACTCCTCGGTATCTACCAAAGAGAAATAAAAACATAACCACACAAAAACCTGTACATAAATGTTCATAACAGTGTAATTCATAATAGCCAAACAATGGAATCAACTCAAATGTCCATCAACTGATAAAAGGATAAATAAAATGTGGTCTGGCCATATAATGTTATATTATTTGGCCATAAAAAGGAAAAGGAATCAATATGGATGAAACTTGAAAACATTATGTGAAGTTAAAGAAGCCAGTCACAAAAGACTACATATTGTATGATTCTGTTTATATAAAATGTCCAGAATAGGCAAATCTATGGAGGCAGAAAGTAATTGCTTAAGATGGAGCAACTGTAGGAGAAATGAGGAGTGATTGCTAATGGGTACAAGGTTTCTTTTGGGGTGATGAAAATGTCCTCAATTTATTTGTAAATATGTTTGCACAATACTGTATATATACTGAGTCACTGAATTATACACTTTAAATGAATGAATTATATGGCATATGAACTATACATAAAGCTAGTTTTTATTTTAAAAATTCAATTCAATTCAAAATCATTGAGTGAATACCTACTATGATGAAGAAACTGCTTGATGGCACAAAAACATTTTATTTTCCTTATAGTGTATTTCACAGTTTTGTTGTCCAGGATTTGTTAAATTTCTTCTATCTGCTATAATCTTAGAAAGCCTATTCAGTCTTAGCTTAGAAGGCATCACCCTGATTCAATTTCAAAGAGGAAAAAATCCTCTTAACCCTACCAACAAAAATTTGACAGTTAAATATTAATTCATTAGTGGGCCTGACCATTATATACCATGGCAGCATTTGGAGCTATACATGTAATGGCTATAGACTTTCAACACACAGCCAGAATTTATGGTGTTTTTAATAATTGCTGAGGCTCTACTGGAACAGAAGTTTCAACATCCTCACCTTGAGTAAATGAAGGGAGACAAATTTTTTAAATGGCTTCCTATTCCCCATTTTAATTAAAAACAAAAGGTTATCTTAGATTGTACTATATGTGTCTCAATGAATTACTTCTTCTGGGAAGATTTCTACCAAGACACTTTGACAGATTCTTAGTTCTGGGAAGGGTAATCAGTACATTTAGTGGCATTTTATAAAATAATGTATTTAGTTGTACGGCTTTTAAACAGTTGTTTTAATTACATTGTCAGGAAATAAATAAAGTACCAAAGACTCCAGTTCCTTTGAGTCTTAGACCTAAAGAAGTATGTAAGGGAATTTATTTTCTATGGCAAGTTCAAAAATGAAAAAACAAAGTGAAAAACTTTTATAGTAAATAATCTTAGATTTAATACAGTTCTTAAGGCTATTATGGCAGAAATCAAATCCTCAAGTCAATAGAAAAAACAAAATAGGTGTTATTTAGATAGGAGAACACAGATATAGATATATAGGTGTGGAAAAATTTTTTGCATAAAGTATGGACTGTTGTTTTCCTAATGAAATAACATATGTGTATTTATTGATTTACTTGAGATGTCATTATAAGCTCTTGATTACTCTGTTCTTGGGCCTTCTACTCTCTGGAGGTGGAAAAGAGAATGAATCTCTGACTTTATATTAAATTTAAAATAAGCTGGTAAGTGCCCTATAATTCACTGACTCAAGACATTTTAGGTTTCCTAAAACACAGTGCTTTCTTTTCCTTCCTTCAGAGTTCAAATCCTTGATAAACAAACCAATTTAAAATGATGGGATTATTAAGGCACCCCTATAAGACTATCAGCAGACTTCTAAGCAAAATCTTGCAAGCCAGAAGGGGTAAAGGATGGTATATTCAAAGTGCTGAAAGAGAAAAACAGCCAGCCAAGAACACTATATCGAGCAAACTTTCCTTCAAAACTGAAAGAGAAATAAAGACTGTTTCAGATATACAAAAGCTGAGAGAGTTCATCCATTAGAACTGCCTTACAAGATGTTCTAACAGGAGTCCTTCAGGTTGGAAGAAAAAGACACTAGACAGCAACACAAAAGTATAGTAAAGTATAAAGCTCCCTGATAAAAGTAAATATATAGGAAAATAGAGAATATTGTAATCCTGTAATGGTAGTATATAAATCACTTTTGGTTCTGGTATGGATGTTCAAAAACAAAAGTATAAATAACTACGAGTATAAAAATATGTTAATACACAATGTAAAAAGATGTAATTTGTGACATCAATAACAAAGTGTATGAAGGGATGAAAAAGAACTTCTGCATGTGACTGAAGTTACCAGCTTAAAATAGACTGTTATAACTATAAGATGTTTTCTGCAAGCCCCCATGGTAACCACAAAGAAAATACCTATAGAAGGTACACAAAAGAAAATGAGTAAGGAAACGAAGCATGTCACTATTTTAAAAAATCGATGAAAAACACAAAGGCAGCAAGAGAGGGAAACAGGGACAAAAAAAAAGCTGTAATACAAACAATTTTAAAAAATGGCAATAGTAAGTCTTGTAAGAGATAGCTATAATTACTTTGAATGTAAATGAATTAAAATCCCCAAACAAAAGACAAAGTAGCTAAAAGAATAAAAAACAAGATACAGTTATTTGATGTATACAAAAGATTCACTTTACCATTAAGGACACATATAGGCTAAAAGTGAAAGGATAAAAACAAGATACTCCATGCAAATAGTAAACAAAAGAAAGGAACGGTAACCATACTTGTATCATACAGAACAGACTTTAAGTCAAAAACTGTCACAAGAGACAAAGGACATTATATAACGATAAAAGGGTTAATTCACCAGGAAGATAAAACAGTTATAAATATATATATGCGCCTAACATCACAGCAATATGGGTATTCCCAAATATATGAAGCAAACACTAACAGAACTGAAGAGGGAAATAGACAGTAACACAAATAATAGTAGGAAATTTCATTACACCACTTTCAATAATGGATAGAACACCTAGACAGATCAATAAGGGAAGAGAGGACATGAATAACACTGTAGACCAAATGGACTTATGAGACACATATAGAACATCCACCTAATGAGAGTAAAATACAAATTCTTCTCAAGCACACACAGAACATCCTCCAAGATAAATCACGTTAGGTCACAAAATAATTCTTAACAACTTTAAGATGACTGAAATCATGTCAAGTATCTTTTCTGACCACAACAAAATGAAGCTAGAACTGAACAACAGTTAAGAAAAAAAATTCACCAATAAATGGAAACTCAACAAAATACTCTTGAACAACCAATGGGTCAAATAAGAAAAATAAAAGAAAATTAAAAAATATTTTGAGACTAATAAAAAAGAAAACACAATATACCAAAAACTTATGGGATGCAGCAAAAGCAT